CTCCAAAGAGCTACCTGGGAGGCATAAACCTGGGTCTTGGCTTAGCATGGGAGTTCCAGGCTTAGCTTTCCATGTTACCTTGGCCCAAGAGTCAGCAGCCCAATAGCTGTGGTGCCTGAATGCACTCTGTGGGCAACTCTGCCCCTACAGGCTGCACAACCCTGTACCCTAAGCTCACACCATAGAAATAAGGTGCCAACAAGAGCCCTAGAACTGAGCTACTATTTTGGAAGTCCCAGCCAGCTACAGGACCCAAATAATTCAGTCAGTAGTTAAACTAGAGCAGACAGTTCCCACGAAGTGGCACCAAACTGCAGCTTGACTAGGACGGATTTGGGTCCTGCAGCTGGACCCCCAGGACTTGTGGCCAGGTGACTGCCCAGATTTGTCTTAGTCATTACAGTAAACTTTCAATAACATGATCTCACTCAGTTTGTTACAGCAGTTTTATATGTACACAGTATCATCCCCAAAAAAGACACCTGTCCCTTCCTATCATCTATCTGGCAAATAGCATTTGTAGGTATCTATAACACTACCGTACTGTGATATGAAATGAGCAGTGAGCTCACCTAGACCACTGTTTTACATACGCTTTTTGTCTACTCTCCCACCTACGAATTGGAAAGTCCTATGCATGAGCACATTTCTTAGCTCTTCACATTCTGCTAGTGTGCCCTGACCTTCGCTTTGTACACATTTAATCCATCTGCTCAGGAATCCCCTCCCCTGGGTGTTCACCCCCGTTTTTCCCTTGCCCCAGTCTTGTCTACTGCCCTCCTGTGTCACTAGTTCCCTCTATATACTTCTGTTATTGGACTTTTACCTACAAAGAAGTCCTTTAATGCAGCCATCACAGTGGCTTTGTGTTTCCTACAACAGTGGTGTAGAGCCTGGACAGCTAAGTGCTTGGGAAATGTCGGAAGTAGAAACATCTTAAACTTGTTTTATCTTATACTTACCTTCCTGAGCCTGAGAAGAAGAGTTCTGTACACTCTGAAACGGCATGAAAACAAGTGAATCAGTACCTCCTCCTTCCGGCCAAGCCTATGGTCTCTCCTCTGTGCCTATCTTTCATAAACTCCCATGTACTTACTTTTTTGTGGAGTGCACATCCTGTAACCGGGGCTGTGCTAAAATAATTCTAGCTACAGGGGCTCATACTTTGATAGAAAGACACAGACATAAGCATATAGCTTTGATACAGGGTAGAAAGTGATTCTTGACTTTTCAAAAGAGCTATGAAACTGAAAAAAAAACACGAAAGAACCCCCAAAACCTACTGATACATGGATTAACCTCAAAACATTAAGCAAAGGGAAAAAGACATAAAAGAGTATAAATTATATCACTATTTATCTAATGTTCTAGAACAAGCAAAACTATAGTCACAGAAACGAGATCACTGGTTGCCTCTCAGGATGAGGGGCTGACTTGAAGGAGCATAAGGAGACTTTCTGGGGTGATGGAAAATAGTCTACATCTTCAGAGTGTGGTGGTTGTAAAGGTCAAAGCACACTGTACTGTTGAAACTCATAAAACCAAACACTTAAGATCTATGCCTTCCACTGTATGTAAATTACACTTCAGGAAAAAAACCCAGTGCTGTGAAAATGAAATAAATTAACTTCTGAGGCACAGGTTGCCATCACGTCTCCTTCCCCAAGGCTCCTCTTTCCTTTCCGGTGCTCCTGGCAAGGCGGCGGCAGACAAACCGCAGGCCTCCACGGGCAGTTGGAGACCAGCGAGACGGTTTATCCTCTTCCTGTGGGGCGAAGTACACAGAGCTGAGGCGTGGGGAAAAGTGAGGGGTGTTGTGCCCACACTCCAACCTTACTCAACTTCCCACTCCACGTGCACCCCCCAACAGGCTCACTCCATGCCGTGAACTCGCTGGTGCTGGATAAGATGAAAGCTCAGGCGGAAGGCCCTGCCACACCTGGCACAGTGGAAAGGCTTCTCCCCAGTGTGGATCCTCTGGTGCCGGAAGAAGCCTGACAGGGCCCTGAAGGCGCGGCCGCACTCGCCGCACTCGTAGGGCTTCTCCCCGGTGTGGATGCGCCGGTGCTCACTGAGGAAGGAGCTGCGGCTGAAGGCGCGCCCACACTCCTGGCAGGCGAAGGGCCTCTCCCCAGTGTGGACCCGCTGGTGCTGAATGAGGTTGGAGCTCTGGCTAAAGGCTTTCCCACACTCTTTGCATTCGTAAGGATTCTCTCCGTGGTGAATTCTCTGGTGCCGGACGACGTTTGAGCTATGGATGAAGGTTTTCCCGCACTCGCTGCACTCATACAGCCGCTCGCCAGTGTGAATTCTCTGGTGCTTAATGGCGTCTGACCTCTGACTAAAAGACCTGCCACACTCAGCACATTCGTAGGGCTTCTCTCCCGTGTGGATTCTCTGGTGTCTAATGAGGTTGAAGCTCTGGCTGAAGGCTTTCCCACACTCCTTACAAATGTAAGGCCTCTCCCCGTTGTGAATGCGCTGGTGCCTGACGACATGGGAGCTATGGATGAAGGCCTTCCCACAGTCGCTGCACTCGTAGGGTTTCTCCCCAGAGTGAATGCTCTGGTGTTTCACCACATCTGAATAGCATTTGAAGCTCCTGTCGCAGGTGCTGCATCGGTAAGGCCGTCCTTTCCAGTGGCCTCTACTATCGGCCGTGGAGGCTGCATTCAGCATGACCTCTGACCCGGACACACTGTCCTCATGGCCATTCTCCCCTCCAGTTTCCTCATAAACAACTGGTCCCCGAGGGGAACCTCTGGGCCTCTCTCCAGCTTCCTCATTCCCACAAGGATCTGGAAACCGCAGTGTCCTGGGAGGCCCCCGTAACAGTCCTGGCACAGCCTGTCCACGGTGCCCCCCTCCTTCTAAGGTTGCCTGTCGTAGCATCAGCCCTGGGCTCTGAGCCCCTTGCTCAGCCACTGAAGCAGCGTAGCAGGAAGCCGGGCTGCCACTCGGTGCCTGTGCTAGGAAAGCTGGAAAAGAGGGGGAGAGATGCACAACTTAGAACTCTGCTAACGACACACAGACGGCACGGGAGAGCCACGTGATGACAGGGAACAGTAAGACACCAGTGGGCAGCAGACACCCATTATCCCGCCTGACCTCCTCCTGCCCAGCTCTCCTCCCCGACTTCTAACACCTGTGGTCACAGGAGTGGACAAGGGACTCGGGGAGAGCTAATCAGCGGGCTTCCCTGTGACTCCAGAAAAGGCCCAAGCCTCTAACCTCAGTCTGCCTGGTCTCAGGAGTTGGGGGAGACAGACCCCCAGGCTCTGGTGACACCCTGGTACAGCCTCATGGCCTGGAATGCAGAGAGAAGTGGTTGGCAGCAGAGCAGGCACGTGTGGCCATGTTTGAAAACACTTCCGGTGTCACAGTGGGGAAAGGGCGCTCCTGGCACCTAGTGGGGAAAAGCCAGGGAGGCTGCTCAACATCCTGGAATGCACAGGCCGCCCCCAACAGAGGCACCTCCAGCCCAAGTGCCCAGAAGTCTACCCAGAAGGCAGAACCTGGGCTGCCAGACGTCCTAACCAAGAAGCTCAGTCCCCTGGCACAGATGCTGGTCACCACTCTGACACTGGGGCCCAGCCCTCAGCCTCACCTCCATTCAGGCCATACATCTCATAGTATATGCTCAGGCCAGCAGCCCGGACAGGGTGCTTTGTCTTTATTCCTTTTCTGAATGGGATGTTTTTAGTAACCTGTTTTCCTCCACACACTGTGTGTGGTGGCATTTGGTAAAATCTAGCCCCAAATTGTGAGAGTGAAGAGTGCTGTGTGAGCCAGATCTGGTCAGGAGTAGGATCAGACAAGGGAGGGAGACGGTGGCCTAGAAGTACTGGGCCCGAAGGTTGGCTCCATGGCTGCACCTCTGGGTCATCCCCGACTCACACCCTGAGGGATGATGTGCAGGGACACAGGGTGGCTGAACCACCCGACACGGGGGTTCTGTGACTTCCTGGGAGAGCAGGTCCAGGTGTGTTTGGGGGAGCCACGGTCATGTTCTCCCCCAGCTCCCACTGCTGA